TATCTCTTTCCTTCTCACTTCCTCTCTGAAATCAATAAAAACACAGTTAAGAAAATCAATAGAAAACACACTTAATGGACAGCAGAAACTGCCAAGCTCATTTTAATGCACAGTAAACTAGAAAGGTAATGTAACATCCAGATTGGTGCTGGCCAACAGAAATAAAGCAAGAGCAATATATGTACAGTGGGGCCTTGACTTACGAGTTTAATTCGTTCCGAGATGGAGCTCGTTAAGGAGCTCGTTAACTCAAATTACTCTATCAACTCAATGCAAAAAATCGGCCGAGAGATGGCTCGTATCTCGAAAAACTCGTTAGTCGGGACAGTCGTAAGTCAAGGCCCCACTGTAATTTTAATTTAAAAAATTGTGATAATATGTATAATTCTAAGTTTTCTATAGTCACTCTGTGAAATCAATAAAAATATATTTAAAAAAAGAGTTTAGGTCACAGAGACAAATACATTTCATAATCTATCCATGTTCCATGTTTTTCTACTCAAGTGTTGTATTATAATAATTATACTACCTGGTAAAATTAAAGCCAAGGCAAATATATTTTTAACTTATGATCAACAGAGCCCATAGAATCAGACTTCTTTTTAAGTCATCATGTTATTGTGTTTTCAATTGGCAAGATTTTTTAAAATTTTATTTTATTGTTTAAAGTATTACACATAGTACGTGTCTCCTTTTTCCCCCCATTGACCTTCTCCTGGCCTCCCCTCTCCCCGGGCACATGCCCTTACCCCACCCCCACAGTGTCTTGTGTCCATTTTAAAATAAAAATTAATAACTGCGAAAGAAAATAGGATTAAATTAAAACATGTACCATTAAAATGCCACCACCAACAGAAATTAAATTGCTTTCACTGAAATTATAAAGGCTTCACCATTTTTCTAGAAAATGTTGAAAGAGAAATCACTTGAACAAATTTGCTCAGTGAAACTGTGAGCTCATCTATTTATATAAAAGCCTAAGCGACCAAACGACCGATCGCTATGATGCGCACTGACCACCAGGGGGCAGACACTCGATGCAGGAGCTTCCCCCTGGTGGTCAGTGTACTCCCACAGTGGGAATGTCGCTCAGCTGACTGACCCGTCCTGATGGCCCACCAGCCTGGTGGCAGCCATTCACTCCCTCAGTAGTCCTGCAGGTCCAATCTCTGGAGAACGGGCCAGGCACCAGTGCCACCTGGATGATCCCGACAGCACCACCGCCCACCTGGAGGGCCAATCACGTCCCGGCCTTCACCCCTCACCCCCCACCCCCCTCAAGACCCCACCCATGCACAAATTTGTGCACTGGGCCGCTAGTAGATAGATCCACAGAAGTGGGTGTGCAGGAGGTCACTGGCCAATATGGCATTCTTCCATCAATGTTTCTCTCTCTCCCTTCTCTCTCTAAAAATTAATAAACTATTCTTTAAAAGTAAAAAATAAACCTATCCCTAAAAAAAAAAATTTATTTAATGTTTGCTACTTGTGTGTTCATTTTAATACATAACACACATCTGTAAGACATGAAAAATAGTGGTCTGTTTAAGAGGTTTTAATGATTGACAATATTTTTTGAAATGCATTTTATGAATATAAATATTTCTAAAGCAAAGAGAAAATAATTGAGTAAGTAGACACAATGAAATTCTGAGCAAAAAGTATGACTAATTTTTGTTCTTCAATAAATGAATACAACCACTGTAAAAATATATGTGTGTATACCCAACACACACACTACAGAAACATTTCAAAGTGGAAATATTTAGTGCACTGCCAAAGTGCTACAATAACTGTCATCCATAGACATTCACATGCAAACACTATTGGACTAATAAACTAGAGCAAGTATTAATTAGCAGAACTCCTTTGCAAAAACGTTTAAAAAATGGAAATAATGAAACCGAAATTTACTTCTCATCTGAACAGTATAGAAAATAATCTCCTATTATCTGCATCACATCACATACACATGAATTATTATCTAAGCTCAGAAAATAACTTCTTACTGTACACGCAGAACTGCCGTGTATACTCAGCAAATGTTATCATTGGCAGAAAATGGGCCATGAGGCAAATGTCTGAGGGATAGTGGCAGGAAGAGATCTAACTACTTAAGAAGAAAAAAGAAAAGCATGGCAAGAACCGGAATGTGCATGCAAAGGAGTGGAGTGTGAAGAAAGCAGAAAGTAATAAACCAATTAAAGTGGAAAACAGCAGCTAATTATAACACAGGAACGAATCATGAAAGTTGGATAAGTGGGAAAGGGGAGGTGAAAAGAATTTTTTCTTTTTTTTTTAAAGCTGTAAGTCACTGGCTAAAGTCCACTTTGAATGTGAGTTGGCTAAACTGTCACATGAGCCAAAGCACAGACTTTTTGCCAAAACTACTACACAGGGTCATTCTGAATAACAACTATGACTTTTTCATCTTTACCTGTTGTAAAGATGTTCCACAAAATTCAAAATGCCCAATGGACACAGACACCAGAGGGGTGAGGGCATGAGTGGGGGGGGG